CTCAAGACGAGCAATCAGAGAAAACGTTTCAATCATACCGGGAAATCTGCACATCTGATACGCAACGCCTAGAATCTGGAAATCTGAGGTTGATAGTATTTAGAACCACAACAATTTGATAGTATTTAGAACCACAACAAAAAACAAGACAGTAAAACGCAATTGCCTTAACTCAAAACACGACCTAGAGTCTGACCTAAAAATTAAAATCCAACGGATTGTAACGCAAATTTGATTGTCAAACACTAAAGTTAAAAGTCAACCTAGAACCTAACCCAAAACCAAACCCAAAATCAGGTCCAATCCCCAAAGTAAGAAACAAAATCCCTACCCAGAACCTAACCCAATAACCAATTGCAGGGGTGCATTAAGCTATTCCCATGTTTAGAAATTGTGAATAAGTACAAAAGGAATGAACATGACATTAACAGGCTTTAAGAATGAAGACCAACCATTGTGTGTGGCGTTTGACAGGGTAAATATAGCCGCTTTAGTGGAATCTGAATGTCACATGGCCTTAAGCACCTATTTGTAATAGCCGGTTTAGTTCATACTAAGACAATTCTTTTTTGGGAGATATCAGACAAAAAGAGGAAAACCAATACCGGTACATGGTGAAATTTCCATTTTGTTGATCGGTGGAGGCGTTGAAATTTCCATTTTGTTGAAAGTACCGCCAAGCTCCAGCCAATAGAGAAGACTCGGCATGAACCCTGTCATCAAATAGGACATGGAAGAGGTTAAATGTTTTAGTCTACAAAAACATTATCTATATATATATATATATATATATATATATATATATATATATATTAAAAGCAAAATTTTTATTCAAATAAGAAAAAAGAAAGGTACAGCGGAGGGGAGTACTAGGCCAAAGCCCCTCTAGAAATGCATGGAAAAAAAAATGAATGAGAAGTGAATCGAAAGAACTACAGATGGTCATTCCCAAATTATAAAACCCGGGTGCTGATCCAAGGCAAGGTTTCTGGGCATTATTTTCTTTGGCATTTTCCCATCTGCCCCAATTGGGCCGACGGGTCCAACATACCAAAAGGGCCCAGAATAACTTTTGGTGGTGACAATTTTCTCCATTGTGGTTGATTTGCGGCTGGGCCAGTATCTAGTGATCTCGCTCACCGTTCCAACTTCAAGATTTGGATCGTAGGTTCTAGTTTTAATCGTCCTTGGTGCTGTTCCCCTCTTCCCCGCTTTTTTGCTGCGTCTGTTCTGGACATCTTGGAAGTCGTTAGGGTCCTCCCTTAGGTTACTTGTCTCCGCTTCTTCATAGGACCTGATTTCATAGTGCTGTCCGTCCACCTCAAAAGATTGAAGAACAGGGCCGATAGTAGTTTGGTCATTACCTGCATTGTTAGTTACTGGTGGGAAAAAACTTGTGCTAAAAGAAGGATCAGAAATAGTTTCATCATCTCCTTTGATAGAAGGGGATAGCGTGCCATCCATCTCTTTCTCGAGGGAAAGAGTGTGTGCATCACTATTATAATTTTGGGCTGGAAAATCCTCCGTTGTT